AGATCCAGATTCATGCTCATACTAAGCTGTGAATCCTTTATGGTGACTGGTGAGCTCAGCCATTTTTTCTTAGATTGACCTTTCTTATAAGGTTGTTGGAAGAATAAAGGAAGGAAGGAAGCCATGTGTACTGAGTTAAGGTCACTGGACGAAAGGCATGGTGGAAACAAATGAATGAATGATTGCTCAGGGTCAAAGGGATAAATTCTATGGTGTGGTCTTGTTTCCTTTTTTGCCCACACAAACTTATAGCTGAAGTTAACTTCTGGAAAAAGCAAAATGTTCTGACAACATCACTTCAGGCTCTCAGTGAGCAGTCTTTCCCACCATCTGTATCTGATTCTTTTCTTAAAACTGCAACACCAGGGACTTATGCCAGCACCTTCTGTGTACAAAGCATGTATTTTTTCCCTTAGCTTCCACACGCTTCTCCACTAAGTGGGATGAATTCTACCAGCCTGCCTGTTGCTCCTATACACTAGATTTTAAAACTCCATTTGTAAGCTAGGTCAGTGGTTCTTAACCTTTGTTACTCGACTCCAGTTGTAAGCTAGGTGACTGCAAGAAGAATTGCCCTATTCAATCCTTTTTAAAGAGTTTGTGGGAATACTACAAGGTGGGAGACTTCCTCTACATGTGGAAAATGATGCATCTGAAGAGGAGAGCCTCTTCTATATTTTCTTTATTTTATTTTCTTTTTAATTACTCTTTAATTACTCCTGAATTACCCTCTTCTCTTATTTGGTAAAATAAAGCAGCAAGCACAGCAATGAAACAATAAAATAACAAAGTCAAGTCAGATATAAAACAAAGCAAAGAAGGATGACTGTTACTTTGTTCCATGAACATTTACTAATTTTAAGCCTTGAATAGTCTTTCTTAACAATTAGCCAATCCTTCTGTGCTGGTTTTGGCTACTTACAAAGACCTTAATGAAGACTTTTGTTTTGCTCTTAATAGTAGGTGAGGATTCTCTCAAATGTGGCAAACCTCTTACTGGGGTGTGTTGTGGTGATGAGGCAACAAAAATCACAAAAGACAAGGAATTCAGCCAATGCACTACATCACCCACTCCAAATATTCTAGAAAGCCTCCACAGGTAGTGTAAGCTCTTTCCTTCATACAGTTACCCTCCACATGGGGTTGATAGAATCCAATTTGGAAAGAGTTGGAGCTTCCACGTTTCTCTCTCCTCTATATTTAATACACACATTTAAGGAACTACACTACCAGAAGCACAGGAACATTTGAACAAAACTCTGCTCCATCTCCTTCCTTCCCTTCTCTACAGCCCTGGTCTCCTTTTTCATTTCCAAAATGGTCCATTTGTCTGACATGCCCATTGATCATTCTCCATCCTCACTACAGTGGACCCTCGACTTACAGACAGCTCCACTTACCGACTTTTCGAGTTACAGACTTCTCTGGCCGCAAAATTCAGGTTCGACTTGCAGCCAGAGAATCGACCTACAGACCGGAAAAAACCCCAAAATGGAACAAAAACAGCCGGTTGCGGATTAATCGGTTTTCAATGCATTGTAGGTCAATGAAGCCTCGACCTACGGACTTTTCGACCTGCAGCCACCGTTCCAATACGGATGAATTCCATAAGTCGAGGGACCACTGTATAGTGTTTCAGGGTTTTTTTTCCTGTCTGTTTTGGTGTTTTCTGTCAATTTCCTCTCATTTATGTAAGGGTGGTGGACACTCTGGTGCCTAATCCTAGCTTCATTTTTTTTTTTTAAAAAAAAATCATTTCTCCATTGATTCCTATTGACAATTCTCTCTCTCATTCCTTGAAATGTTTAATTAGTGGGGATTTGATTGTCAACTTCTCTGTATGTTCCATTGATTCAAATTGCTTACTCTAGTCGTGACTTACTTCTCTAAACAACAGGATTTCAATCTATATCTGTATTTGATCCCTCAGTATGATTGATTTGATGTTCAGTTTTTGACACGTTCTTTATATGTGGTGTGTTATATCTGTTTCATACGTGGTATGTCATATTTGTATATAACACTGGTCCTCCTCCAAAAATCCTGGCCAGCACAGCTTAATGATGAAGGCTTCTGGGAGTTGTAGTCCAAGAACATCTGGGGACCCCAGGTTGGGAACCACTGGTATAGTGTGGTTCTAAGTGGCCAGTATTCCATTCATTTTACTGTGCCCATAACTTCAAATAAAAAATAACCCAAAAAACCAGCTGCAGTTATGTAGAGATACCTGGTTACCTACCTGCTTTAATACTTAGTTGCACAACTTGACTGCTCAACTGGTTATGCAAAAAGCCATGTGAGCAGGTAGACACCTCCAGCTCTCTATCCAACTGCACAGGATTCGAAATCAGGTTAAAAATCTAATGTTCAGCACATGGAAATACAGACGCACAGACATACATATACATATGCATAAACATGTATGTGTATTCAAAAACTGAGTGATAAAAACCAAACGTTTCATCTAAACTTATCTCAATATAATCTAATCACAAATATTTGTGAACGTTTTTGTCTGCTGAATATAATACTTCTGCAGGAGACCTGTTTGTTAGAGTGTAATGGATTCAGTGATTCTATAGCAGTACAGTTTGAGATCTTTGGCTAGGTGTCATTTAAAAATATAATAAAAGGACAGTGTGATTTAGATTTTTAAATTTACATTGGAGCAAGCACGTGATATGTGTTGAATATTTTCCTCTCTTCCATTCCTTTTTGTTTTCTGGGGAGCAGGGGGAGGGAAGATATGTGAGAAGAGATGCATTGAACCATTTGTTTGCTTCTTAGAATATGTCTAGCGTAAGAATGTAAGACCAACACGATGAGATTCATTGTCTTGGTGGTGATTGATTTCACACAGCTATAATAGTTTGTGTGCCATTGGAAGGTAGATGCTGGAGGTTCTAATGCCTTCTTAGGGATAGGTACAGTCAGACTAATGTGTCTCCTTCCCATGGAGAAGCCTAGATTAATACGTGGCATCATCGGCAGGTGTTCTCACCTTGCACAAAAATGCACATCATATTTTGTGATCCTTGTTTGTCAAAATTATCTTTTGACTATATTTTCAATCTTATGGCCTAAACAATGTTCTTTCCTGTTAAAGCTCTCCAAGCTTGAGGAAACAAAAGGTGCTTCTGAAAGTGCTCATCCAGAACAACATGGATCATCAGTTTTGTTTAGTAACAAATCAAACAAAGAGAGCGAGATGGTTCCCACAGTTGTTGCAAATTGTTTGTAATGTGTTTTCTGCCTTCTGAGCATGTTTACTTCCACTGGGAGAAGAGAATGTGCCCCTTGCTGTCCGTAACTTTGCTTCTCCTTTTACTTGTTGAAATTCTTTGAAAAACAACGGGCTGGCCATGTGATGTTTGACCAGAATATTGGTCAATACCGAATTGGTAAATGGGCTAATCTCACAGATTGAGAGGGACCAAAGGGTAGCTGGGTATTTCTTAAAGTTGTTGGATCCTTGAGATCAGTATTCTTGGTGCTTGCAATCTGTTGAGTATTAACACTTAGGAACTGCTATACTGTGTGACACCAAAGCCTCATCAATTTCCTCTCTTCTATCCCTGCTATATGGCTTGTGTGTTACGTGCTGTCATGGAGGCTAGAGAACTGTCCAAGGGAACTCAGAGAAAGTCTACAGCTTACCTAAGAGAGCTGTCCTGTCAAGGAGTCAGGAAGAACTCCACAATAGGGCCTGGGCACAATGTGTTGTTGGAGCAAGAACAGCAAGAAATGAAAGGCTTTTAAAATAGGCTTTTATAAGAGTCCATATTGGCCTACTTGGTCTTTGCTCCAGAACTCATGAATATATGATTCCCCTTCCTGGTTAGTATTTTTTTTGTTTGTTTGTTTGTGGGTAGCCTGGAGCTGATTTTACGGTATGCTTGTTCCAAATTCTAAATATGGTGAGGCAGGGTTGAAGGAATAGCTTAAAGGAATTAGGAACAAGATGTTGTGACCAAGACGTATCTGCAATTCATTAGAAGCACTTGTAAATTGCTTTACCATTGGGTGTGATAGAGGGATCTAGCTTTTGAATTCCTTCCCAGTGGTGAAAAAGCCCCTTGCACCATTGTAGACCTCTGTTAACCATAGCTGGTCATGGGAGTTATGTGGGATTAATATTGTTGTTTACCACAGGAATCCATGCAGGTACCTGAATATGATATTTGAACCCTTGAGGTTTTGCAGACAATGCTTACAGAATAGGATGAATGTGAGATACAAATAACAAATTTTCACAAGGCATGTGACCATCTTCAGTCCTACTGCAGCCCTGTTTCTGTGTGCAAATAGCTCACCCAACTCCAAGACATGTGTCTAGCCATCAAACTTACTTTTGCATCTCTCAAAATTTCTTAGATATTTCACTTGTGGCAAACCGCTGATTTGTCCCCAAATTTGGCTTTAGGCAAGATTTGTTGAAAAAGATGATGGTGAATAAGATAATAGTAATAATATTAGTAATAGTAATATAGGAATATAAATCCTTTTGCATCTGCACTGATTTTTATGATTTAATACAGAAGAAAACAAAGTACCCTGATGATAAATGAAAGAGCATTTTTAGTGTTCATCTGTTACTGACTTAATTTTATTTCCCCAGAAGCAGCAGAAGAAAATTAAACACATGGGCCACTATCATACTGAGCTGCTGCTAAGCAGAAAGTCTCACCAGTACCATAAAACAGGATAATTACCCCTTTCACCAATGAAAACAAAGTCTAACTGTGAATCATAGCAACCAAATTCAGTCTTTTCCTTTGGCAACTTCCAGATCATCTTACAATGGCAGATAGTGGTTGTGATTCAACACATCAGGAGGATTCCAGACTCAGGAAGCCTGCTCAGGGTCCACAGAAATATGAAATGCAAATCAGAAATAACTAGAAGAGATCTTTAAATTCTGCATTCTACACATTGTTGAGCTAGTGTTCCTTCATTCTTGAGACTGGTTCACACTATGCATTGTATGTCCTTTTTTCCAGAGGTCTCTCTTCATGCTGCAGCCCAGCTCAGCGAACTGGAATGCTCCACAGGAATGCCTTTCGGAGGACTCCTCCCTTACCTCGGGGCAGGTTCAATGGAATTACAGGACCAGCATACCAACAATTAGAAGAGTCAAGGATCACAGATCAAGATACAATACCTTGTCAAGGGTATGTAAGAAAAACAACAACAACATAATGATTGATTAACCTTCTTCTTTTTTTAATGAGTACAAAAAGCTAGAGAAAAGAAAACCTCAAAGGAATAGTGGAATAATGAAGGGTAGTCATTAGAAATATCCTATGCGCACATCTGGAGTTAGTTAAATAAGATAGATCATAGGTGGGGACTCATTTTGTTCATGCTTAACACAAACCCTTTATTTTAAAATAAAACTAATTGCATGGCAGAAAATACATTTTCAAGTGAAGAACACACCATGCTCCAGGTTACTTCTTATTCATTTGTGATATCCATAATAAAGATAGGAAACATTTCTCTGTGATCTTTTGTCATTGTTCACTTATGTTCACTGGTATCACTGGCACAGAATTCTTATGGGTAAGTAGATAAAGATGTATTTTGTGAGGATATCATCCTCTCATGCTGAAGTCCATGCTCACGAATTCTGAAGGTTGGTTCATGAATTCCATAGTCAGCACAAGAACAACAAGGTGGGCATTTCTGATGACTTCTCTTTTATTCAGACTCACTTCTAGGCTGAAAGGAGACTATTTCATCCCCATTGAAACTGTTGATAATGTGCCTCTTGGCACAAAATCAAGAAGAGTTATAAAGGCAGCAGCACCAACAGCAGCAGCAACTGCTGGTGTTTGGCAGACCATCTAAGTCATTAATTATGCTAAAGCAAAGATAATGTTTGTTTCTTGTTTGTCCACTATAAAACTTCATGTTGCAACTGGATGCTGAATAGACATACAGTTGATCAGATCTGCTTGCTCAAATTGTTGAGCATTAATTTTATCGCTAACAGAAATGAGAAGGGACAGGAAAAAAAAAATAAGCTTGAGAAGATCATCCATTCTGAATCAGTTTATCACACTCCTAGAAACAAGAGGGGAAATGTTAACTTGCTGCTTTAGTCATGATGAATGTTTATTCAGAAATAAGTCTCACTGAGTTTGAGTGGTTACTTCTAGGTAAGAAGACAGAGGACTGTAGTACAGCGGTGCCTTGACTTACGAACTTAATCTGTCCCAGAAGATGTTCGTAAGTGGAAATGCTCATAAGTCGAAGCACCATTTCCTATTGAAATGCATGGGAACGGGGTTAATCCATTCCAGCATTTAAAAAAAAATACCAAAAAAGCACAGACCAACCCCCATTGGGAAGCTCTGGGGCTTGAAAAAAAAAACCAACAATCTAAAATAAAAAGAGCAAACTTCGAAGGCTGCAAAAACAAACAACAAAACTCCAAAAACAAACATCAGGCAATCCACACGCTAGGACTGCAAAAAAAAAATAAAAATAAAAAAATAAAAAAAAAATCACCCAGGGAGTGCACCAGCTTCCCGCACCCAGCGGTGATCCGGAGCCGCCCCAGCCTCTCCTTCCTCCTCCTGCATCGCAGAAGTGAAAAAGTTCCCTGACCCCCTGCTCTAACTGTTGGGGCGAAAGAGCTACAAAGAAGCAGTCTCTTCACCACCAATGTTTTGAATTTCCCGCCTTTTCCCCCTGCCTTTTTTTGTTCTTAGGTCGAAGCTCCACTCGCAAGTCGAAGCAAAATTTTGTGAGCGGAGCTGCTCGTAAGTCAAAATGTTCATAGGTAGGGGCGTTCGTAAGTCGAGGTACCACTGTATAGGAGAATTTAGCCGCATATATCCTTGCTTAACAGTCCGATGGTGCTCGTATTTGGGCAGTGGTAATTTGTCAGCAATGAAACTATTTCAAAATGTATGTTTTTAGATCACAGCTTTTCACAGCAGTCCTTCAGCACTACTACAGCTAGAAATGGAGATATGTATATTTTATGTCCACCAGAACATAGCTTATTATTGTGAAGCTTTTTGTCTAAAGCAAAATCAAAACACATGGAAAATGCCATTCTCCCTGAATTGTAATGGGACTTCATGACCTTCTTTATAATATTTCTTGATTTTCTTTGCGTCACGGACTATGAGCTGTCAGTTCTCAAAGTTGTACCGTTTGATGCATATCCATGTATGGGCAAGTACACTCAAAGCTAGATTTCTGGATCCTGGACATTTTTCTAGCCTGAAGCGAAGCACTGGGACTTCTGAAGCAATCCACAAACTGAGCAAACTAAGTGCTGGAATGTAATTCTCTTAGCACTTGCAAGGGCCTGGGGATATACTGTTTCAAAAAGGCCCACAGTCTGCTGTTCCCTTTGATTTTCCCCTACTTCAGTGCTTTGACCCATACAAGGTAGCGAGGCTAATAGCATTTCATATAATCTAACTAAAGTAGTATTGCTGCAGTCCATTTCTGGATATTCAGTGCTTAAACCCAGCTAAGCAGTGCCGATTAGAGCACCATTTGTACTAACAAGCAAGATCTCAAAGGCTCTCAAAGAGAGGAGGGAAAACTTTGGGGGGACATTTTGCTGAGGAATACTTCAAAATTCCCCACATTTTTCACTTCACTTCCAGTTAATAGATTCTTGTGATGAACAAGCTGTCCAATACACTGAAATACTGCCCCAAGTTACATGAGATATTTGAAGACTTATCAAGTTATATTCCACCTTGTTGTTTGTATGAAACTCCTAAGATGGATATTTTACATTTCTTTTGGACAGGATAAAAAGCTGGCTCTCCATTTTTTATCTTTTATTTCAGTTGAACTTAAGAGAAAAAACATAAATAAAGTTTAATGTGATAATTATTATCTGCCCGTCTATTGCTATCACTGTTTCTTGGTAAACTTCTATTTATTGTGATTTGGTTTTGCAATATTGTGATGGCTTTGATCAGTCAAGGGAACTGAACTGATTGAGAGCCCCTCCAGATAGAGTGTGTACCACTTGTTGCCAGAGGAGTGTGAAGTTTACTGGCATTCATATCCAACCGAACCTGCTTCTTTTTAAAGCACCATAGCACTGAATTCAACCCTAGAACAAAGTAAGCTAAAAATAAGCCATGCTTTTAGAAGGTATAAAAAAGCATGAAGTCAAGGATGTTGTCACTGTGCTAAGCAAGACAAAGCAAATATCATGTACGTATATTGCAAGGAAAACGCTCATGACTTCAGTGTTGAATCAAGTGCATTACAGAGAATAAAATGCTCCATCTAGATAAGCTCTGACTGACTGAAGTAAAAAAAAATGTATGGTAGTTTGGAACTTGTTATTTAAAAACTGAAATTTAAAATATTCCAAGCCAACAAAAGGAGCAGAGAGCCAACAAAGCCAGCCCTCAGAAATGAATTCTTATCAAATAGATCATACAATTGAAAAAAACAAAACAAAACCCTCACCAGCTTCCCAGAAAATTTTTTTAAAGCCCAATGACTTTATTTTGTGGAGAATTCCACATGGTGGTTGGTCTTATAGAAAAAGCCTGATCTTGGTTGGCACTCAACTACATTATTTCCTAGGCTGGCCCAAAACATGTTTCTGCTAAATATATTAATCCTCCCTTCCAAACAAGTCAAGACACATAGTACTGACGGCCAATCCAGCTGTTCTGGTGCCGGTAGCAGAACATTCCATAGGCAATGTTTTCTCCAGCTCCCTGGTAGTAAAACTACAGCATTACATCAATGACTAATGACACTAAAAAAAGAAAACTTTATAATAAAAAACAATATTTCCCCCTTTCTTATTCTAATAACTAATGATTTAGTGCCTTTTCATTGTACCTGAAAACTACTTACCCTGAGGTGACTTTTTCCTCATGATGGGACCAGCCCTGCTAATTTCAGATAGCATGGACACACAGAACAGGTCTTTACATGGAACACAATAATTCTGAAATCCGTTTCACTTCTCAGTGAATTAAATTTGGAGCAAACATGGAGACAAAGCACCTGGGGAGTTTTGAGAAATGTGTGGTGGGGGAGGGGAGAAGATTGTTTTACAATCTAGATGCCCTCCTCTCACAAACTATTTCTGAAATATCAATTTATTTATTTTTAACTATTTATTTAAATTTTTACTCTGCCCATCTAGTGCCAAAGCCACTGCTCATTAAATATCAAGGTATGTGTCCTGTGATTACAAGCCTTGTGGAAAAGCTAACTGCTCTTGTATATTTCCTTCCTCTAGGTTGTCTACTGGTTTAAAAACACCACAGAATACTTCAATAAATATGCAACTGCCTTCAAGAGAAACAAGCTCCTATTTTAATAGTGTGGCTCAAAAGGACATGGTTGGCTACTCATCTCCAAGAGCCAATTCTGTTCCCATCATCCCTTCTGTGGGCTTAGATGAAGCCTGCATGCAGACACAAAACGTTTCAGACATTACAAACATCAAATGGTGCAAAAACTCCTATTCCACTGAACTTGTCAAAGTGAGTGCCCCAGCCAACAGTTGTCTTATTGCAGAACAACAAGAAGTCAAAATATTGTTAGAAACTGTCCAGGAGCAGATCCGAATTCTGACAGATGCCAGGAGGTCAGAGGACTTTGAACTGACAAATGCTGATGCTGACAGCAGTACAAGTGAAAACACGGCTTTTCTGCCTATGAGCCCTGTGGTGAAATCAGAACGAGAGGCACAGTTTGTCTTAAAAAGTGAAACAAAAAGAGACTCAGCATTGATGAAGTGACTTTGAATGGGGGGGTAGGGTAAGGGTGGGGGGGCAGGGGATATATGGATCTGTGCATTTGAAGCTTTGCTAAACAGGAAAGAGAGGAAATAAAATACAAATTATTTATATGCATTAATTTAAGAGCATCTACTTAGAAGAAACCAAATAGTCTATCGCCCTCATATCAGTGTTTTTTAACAAAATATTTTTTTAAGGGAAAGAGAGATACCAGGAGGGGCAACACTTAATTCGGAAATTCTGAATTCTTTTCTTCTTCTTTCTTCCTGCCCACCCGCCCCTTCTTCTGTTGTTTCCTCCAGGCTTATATACACAATTTCACAATTGTCCTGTCTGAAGGTTTAATCTGGCACTACCCTTAGAGGTATGGATTTCAAGTGAGTGCTTCATGACAAGATTGCTGGAGAGGTTCTCCAGCAGAAGTTTCATTGAAATGAATAGAAGGGTCACAGCAAATATTCTTGCTGAATTCCCATTGTTTTTTTTTCACCCAGTGGAGTTTATAGGGGTGACATTATCAGTTGTGCCCAACATTGGCTGTCCTCCATACTTTGTAATCCAGATGTGCAAAACTCCTTTCTCGCAGTTTGATTCTGGAATCCTCCAGATTTGCAGCTAGTTAATTCCTGATTGATTCATGAAAACCTTGGCTACCAGTTCACAGTTTTAAAACATAAATGGAGTGTGACTGAAAGATTACCAAAAACAGCCTTGCTCAATTCAGTGCCCTCCAGATAGATGTATTGAACTACAGCTCTCCTCACCCCCATGCCCAATTATCATGGGCTAATGACTCTGCTGGCTGGGGATAATGGTTTTTATGGTCCAACGCATCTGGGAAAATCTGACCTAAAGGGGTACCCAAGGACATTTGGAACTTCATCTAAAGTCCTTGGAAATAAAAAACACAGGTGAGGAATTCTGAAGGAAGCCATAAGAGTTTTTTGCCAGTACTAGTAATTGTTACTGTGATGGAGAAATTTAAAGTATTTTTGGAAGTTCCTCTGCTGACATTTTGAAGGAAGTCAAAACAGCTTTGGTAGATCTAGAAACATTCCTCAGGGGAGTTTTGCATGTCCCTTATTCATGCAAATATATTGCTGACCTGTATGAATTTGAATGTTTAGAGCCAAGATTCAAATTCTAGCTATCCAGGAATTAGGGATGTTTTAAAGTACAGTTAATTATTTCCATTCCAGAAGTTGTGATCTCTGCTCTAGCAGTTGAATCTAGCAATGAGCTTTCTGCTCACTCAATGATCACTACTAAAAATATAATTCAGAAATACATTTCTTCACCTCTTAATTTGGACCCAAATGAAATCTGTATACTTAACAGGATGGGTAACACATGGCAAATATGCAGACTGTGTGTTTGTGCGTGCGTGTAATTTACAATTTTTTGTTTCAAGCAAAATACTTCAGCCACATTCATTTGCCATGGAGTTTAAAGTATTGTCAGAATGTCATTCTTGGAAGTTGTTTGTGAACTCTGAAGGACCGATGAAGTATATGCATATGTGTGCATTTTAACTTTACAGTATTAATTCTCATCCTGAGATCTGGCACCTCCAGTGTGTTTTTGTATTTAGCATATATTTGGAAACACCACTTTAAATTTACTTCCATTTCAAATATCCTGATTCACTTTCAACCTGATTTACTGCAAAATGAAGCTATTTCCTGAACATGATCCAAAGCTTCTTTGGCCCCATGAGAGGAAATCCTCAATTTGCGTGCACTAATTTTCCTTTGTCCATATAAGGAATTCCTTTGTCCATATAAGGAATTCCATGACCAGGGATGTAATGAATGCTCACAATTGTTCCTCTCCTTAGTGAAAAAGCATGTCTTATCACATCAAGATACCTCATTTTAAAATAACTGGCAGGCAATGTGGGATTGTTCAGTCCTGCATGAAGCAAACAATTCAGTGCTAAGTAGCAACTTTAACTAACAAGCAAATTATTTGTGCATCAGAAACACATATCTTATGCACAACACTCATGGCCTTTTGTGCAGAAGCAGAATGTTTATTGCACAACGTACAAAGGTTGTTTAAAATATAAAAAGTATATACGTAAATATATATAAAAAAACACTTCTGCAATTTTTTTTGTGGGGGGAAAGCCTCAACATGTAAAAAATGAATAAAATTTCCTGTATTTTTGCCCAGCAAGGATAAGCCTTTACATTTTTTTTATATTTTCACATCTGAGAACAAAATGAGCAAAGATTTGCATCCCTAGCCATGACGCAACAGAATGAAGTAGCTTCAGCTTATAATGGACATTTTGTATACATTATCATAGCCCCAAATATACCCCAGAGCCTCTGGACTGTGGTCACTGTTTGAATCGGCTGCAGACACAGACTTTTAGGCATGGCTTTGACCTACTCTGGATATTAAACACACACACACACACACACACACCACAAAATTCAAAAATTTTACACTCCCTGTTTTCCCTGCTTCTTTATAACATCTTTAGAAGAAGTTGCATATCTCATTGTAGGGGAGGTGTACCACTTTTACTTCAGAAGTTACAAAGTCAAGGAAAGTATGAATCCTCATCTCTCTGCAAACTGTACACTCCAGAGCTGTCCATAGGCATTAGGCCTTAGAGTCTTGAGTACACAATCAGTGGCTGAAATCCAGCAGTAACTCACAATTAGAGTAGCCCAACTGAATCAGCAGGGATTTGGTGAGTCAGTGCCTCCATAAGTTCCACTGATTCAGTTGGGCTACTCTAATTGTGACTTACTACTGGATTTCATCCAATAAGTGCAGGTAGAACTCTGAATCCAAATTGAGACATTAGCAGCTATCTATATCCAGATGCTTCTTATACCCATTCTTCAATCTACTGAGCCAAAGTGGCTTTAGAAAAGTGTTCATTGATTTTGCTGGTGTTCTTTGTGAGCACACAATCAGGTCCTTGACATAATAGAGATAAACTTGCCAACTGGGGTTTTCCTAATAACTTGAAATTTCTTTTGTAATGTTTTTATTTAACCACAAACCACAATATGGCATCAGAATAAAGACCTTGTGTTCAGCAACAATCCATGTATTAGTACTTTTTGTTGGGTTTTTTTTTTTGAAAGAAATGTTTCCTCTACTTCAACTGTTTTTTACAAGTTACTATCAAGAGCAAAGAAAGAAAACAGACCAAACAGCCGTCCCTCCTTAATGGCAGAGACTGTCTAAAATATATGCACAATACAGATGAAATACATGAATACCCTAATCCAGAACCAGAGCATTAAAAAAAACCCCACAGATTGCATTATATTGTTTCCCAAATTATTTCAACAAGAGCTGAGTTTCCAAGGTTGCCCAGCTGATCTGTTCCCATGTTGAATCAGAATAAAGCAATATTTTTGTCTTCTCTCAAACAGAAACAGATGTTTCTGAGAAATATCTGTAGTTTATGTTATTCCTCAACTCACAATGCCCCCTCCAGATCAGGGTATTAAAAACAGTATACACACGTCTTTTTTATGTTTTCTGAAGTTGATGGAACTGTCTTGTTTACACAATTTTCTATGGCTGTAATCTTCACTGTGTGTTTTCAGTAAAATGGTATTTCAGGGTAAATTCAGCCAGATATGGTATACACCAGAATTGCATATCAAAAAGTTCTAAACATTTCAACTAGTGTCAGCAGTCCTCATAAAGTTGGGTAAAAGCAGTGAACTCTCCAAGGTGCGACTAAGAATGTCACAGGAGGACCATGAGCCCAGAGCTGGCTGTTGTCTGGAGGGAAATCAAACTAGCAAATGTCCCTTCCAATCAGTCTTACACTCTACTGGAAACATACTGCATGATTTCCGCAAGAGAAATAATTTAATAATTCAAGCCTTTCTTGAAATGTAATGTCATTTCTGCCACCCTTGAAGGGGAGGAAGGGTAAAAGAGCAATGTATTAATGGTCAATTGATGTTACCTTTTTTTTTTCTTTTTCGTTTGATTGACAAGCAAAATGAAGATCTGAAATGGGGAATCTGCCATTTGTGTTAGCAATGCTCTCTGTACCCAGCAAAGGATGTGTGACTGTTATATGTTAACTGTTCTATTCAGTTTTCAGCATGTTTGAATAGAGAGATGTTAATATTAACCACATGAAAGACTAATGTACTTATTTGCTAAGAATATAACTTGATCTATCAAATTTGATGGGGAGGAAGTGTGTCAAGATGTGAAAACACAGTCAGTCCTTAAACTGAATTACAATTCTTTTCTACTGTTTATTTTCATACTGTACAATTAAGATTTTTGTCTGTTGCTGTCAAACATTTTGATTGCACAGACTACAAAATAAACCTGCTGCACAGTCATGCACATAGGTGTCCTTGCTCATATAGATACTGCATTGGGTCAAATTTGGTCTGCTTTATCCATAGCCTGCAATAGGCCAATTCTAGAGCATGGCCATTCATAAACACCACAGGCAGCCCAGTGATTCATGTACTCAATAGTTTGGAACATTCAAGGCTTGACCCAGCTGAACTCCTATTCAATTGTTGCGAGAAAATCAGTATCCTGACTTCTGTGGTGGGTTACCATTGACGGGAGAGGCTGACTGTCTTCGGACTTGTCATCCTATATGTTTATGAGGGCAAGAAAACCATGAATGGAGTAGTGAAGCCAGAGCACTTTCCCATCCCTGAATAGATTTAGATGTGTATTCCTCACTCATTAAGGCAAAGGCAAATGATCAGAAAGTGAAGAGTTTCTTGTATTAACAATGTTTGGAGAAGAAGTTAGTTGAACGCTTATTTCAGTATCTTCAACCATGTGCAGAATAGTTTGTTCACATTTGGTCCTATTCCCCATTGTTTGTCTCAGGGGGGCTTCCACATACAGTGGTGCCCCGCAAGACAACGACCCCACTAAACGACGAAACCGCAGGACGATGATTTTTTGTGATCACTATAGTGAGTCGCAAAACAGGCATTTCAATGGGGGAATCCCGCTTCACGACGATTTGGTCCGTGCTTTGCGGACTGTTTATTCACAAGACGATGATCATTACAGCTGCTCGTCAGCTTCGCAAAATGGCTTCCTGCTGTTTTCCGGACCCATGCTTCAGAAGACAGCGATTAAAGACAGCTGATTGGCGCTCGCAAAGTGGCCGCCCTATGGAGGTTCTTCGCTGGACAACGAGGTATTTTCCCCATTGGAATGCATTAACCGGTTTTCAATGCATTCCAATGCGGAAACTGTTTTTGCGTGATGACAATTTCGCTGTACAGTGATTTCAGGGGAACAAGTTATCATCCTCATGTGGGGCACCACTGTACCCTTTAAGCAAGCAAAAAATCCTGTGGCTTCAAATGGAGTGACCTCCAGCTTAATTAGCCGCAACCCAGAGATTATGAAGAGAAAATGCAGACCAAATTGGTATGCTCTGTATTAGTGAACAAGATTCTGGCCATAGGCTTACAAGGAAAATTGTCACAATTTATTTAGTTGTTTGTTTCTGTTTATTCATTTATTTATATATTAATTTCTAGTGACATCCAACATAACACAAGTGCCATAAATATTTTTTTGCTTGTGCAACTGTGCTGAGCCAGCGGTTCTCAAAGAATGGGTACAACTGCTTGGAAAACAACTCCTGCAAAACACTGAATTTTAAAGTGTATAACTGCTAGCACAGTGGGTCTTATATTAGTGAAACAAGGTCATTGGGTACAAACTTACCATTTTAGCCTATTTCCTGTGCCCTCTTAAAATTTTTCTCTGGAAGGTTTCCATAGTAAAAGAATAGAAAGGGTGCACTGTAAATGCAATCGGAATGTTCAATGCTGCAAATGCAGTATCAATAGTCTGTCAAACTTCCATGGGGTAAAGGGTGTCAGAAAAAAAAACATTTACAACATTAACTTCAAACAGCTGTTCTTCAAAGCAGGCAGTTTATATAAGACCATGATACTGGAATGGCACAGTGCCACATAGATGGCAAATGGCAAAGGCATCATTCCCCCAAATCAGGCAGTTCTTACGCTATTGTCATAACATGTGTCAATATTTGTTCTTCACAAGAGCATCTGGACATCTCCAAATCATCTCAGAAGATTTGCAGATTGGAATGTTCCAACTAAAGATGCAGATACGTTTTTTGATTTGTGGTTAACGTCAAAATTTTTAACATTTGTTTTGGTTCCTTTCCCCCCCCCCTTCTGCACAGATACCGCTTCTTTATCAGAAGTTCAAGCACAGGTCACAACCTGAGCCTTTTGTAGTGCAATATTAACATGTCGCTATTATTTTATTGATGAGGATGATTAATATGGTTAGCAAAAATTATGTTCTAACCAGAGGATACCTTTGCCTGCCACTGAAAAGGTAGTCACAAGGGTACCAGGCAAAGCTCCTGAAAAAAATGTTTCTGAAGCACAGGACCCTAAGCAGGAGGTACCGCTCTCTTGTAACCCATCTCCTTTATTAAGTAGGGCTCCCTGGAGTTCTCTGTTTGTCTGCTAGTGATAATCTGCTCTGTAGTCTTCTCCCTTTTTGGTTCATCTACTGCACTGGTTCTTAACCTTGGGTTACTCAGGAGTTTTGGACTGCAACTCCCAGAAGCCTTCACCACCAACTGTGCTGGCTGGGGTTTCTGGGAGTTGCAGTTCAAAAACATCCGAGCAACAAAGGTTAAGAACCACTGATTTACTGTTCCATCTACTGATTTTCAGATACAGTGGACCCTCTACTTAAGGAATTAATCCATATTGGAATGGTGGCTGCAAGTCGAAAAGTCTGTAAGTCGAATCTCCATTGACCTACACTGCACTGAAAACTGATTAATCCCATAACCAGTGGTTTTTATTCTATTTTTATTCCATTTTGGTTTTTTTCTGGTCTGTAAGTCGATTCTCTGGCTGCAAGTCGAATCTAAATTTTGCAGCCAGAGAAGTCTGTAACTCGAAAAGTCTGTAAGTTGAGCCGTCTGTAAGTCGAGGGTCCACTGTAATATACTGTCTCTGGGCTCTCCTTTAAATCATTATTTAGCTTGAAGAAATTTATCCAACTCCTCTGTGCTCTCTCTCTCTCTCTCTCTCTCTCTCTCTCTCTCTCTCTGTATTAAATATTGTGAGCTCACCCACAATATGCCTCCCAAATCTCACTCCTATCCCCTTGCTTATTATATTCACCAAATATTTGCCAGTCCAGTCAGAATGCTGCCAATGTATGTGAATTCTTTTGTAATACACAGTTGATTTGATTACTCTAAAACCTTGTTTCTTGTTTCATTGTTCATCTACCATGTGGTACCTTGCATCCAAAGCGGGGCAGTTTGGCTTATTCACTCACATTCATTTTTCTATTTTTCTTTCTGAGCCTCCCTTCCGTGTATGATGAGGCTGGGAATTCAGCAGGAGGGAAGCAGAGGCGGGACCCTCACCCTCTGCTCCAGGTAAGGAGAGAAACAAGAGTGAGTTGACTAAGGGTGGCCTGAATCTTTGGGGGAAGGTGATATTCCCATTGCCTTTAATGGAGATATTTCTGCTGTCTACTCTTCTGAGAATTTCTCCTTCGGCAGTTTTTGAATGATTAAACACTATAAAGCAAATTGACAGTGAAATCAACTAATAAGGAAACTCGGGAAGTAACTCAAATGTGCACCAACATCTCTGGAATCATAGGCTGTCACTTCAATACCTTAGCCCACTCTCCATAGGTAGACCTATTCAGTAGTAAAAT